TGAGAGCCTCTCCTAGGTCTTGTTCGAACAGTGGAGCTTTGATTTTTCCGATAACACGGAAAATATGAAATCAGGCCTGCTAACAGTAGCAAGTAGCTGTTTTCAAATTTGAAAACAAGCTCACTACTGTCTGGGCCAGTTGATCATAATCAAGGAAAGGCTCATAATCCTTGCGAGTTATTTTTAAGAGCCATTTCCAATACCTGGAGAGGCATGAAAAGAAAGACGTTCTGTGCACATCTATACAAGAGAGGAAAGCCTGAAGGTAAAGAAAATGTCCTCAGAATAATATAAGCGGTTATACCGCTGCCAGATGGTATCGAGCGGCTGGTCTTCTTCTTCTTGGGCTTTCTTGCGAGCCTTATGCACAGCCTGATCAGCGATAGCGAAGTCCGTGGTTTGCAGTTCTTCGTGGGCGACGATCCATGTCCAGGCTTCGGTAAATGACATGGGTCGCGCAGCTTGTTTCGCCATTTCGCTTCTGCGCAGAGCAACAACTGCTTGCGGGATAGTGTGGTTAAAAATCGAAGGGCGGGGGTCGATGATCTTGTCCGGGGAAGGAAAAGGCTTAGACGATCAAGTAAAAATTAAATGTGACATCATTTCCAATCATCCATATTTATATGGGAGCCTTAAAGTATAAGTATCGAAGGATCTCAGCATGGCTGTCCTTTCCTCGACCGGGTTTGACTCCTCTCCAGTGCATCTGTGGTCCTATCGAATCCATCACGTTCGCGAACTCTCCGAAACGCCGGGTTCTTGAAGGGCAGTCCACGTAAAGGTGGTAGTGCCAATACTAATATTAGAAAAAATACAAGAAGTTTTGTCACCTACTCATTGAGCCGCCATTTTTTTCAAATAGAAAAAATGGCCACTCGTGAACGGAAGATGAAAGAATATAACTAGCTCTAAAGGCTAAGGCTACGCTCCTCGGCGACGAAAAACTTCAGTCTCCAGACGTTGAACCGCTGGACGTTCTTTCTTGTCATTAGTCGGACTGCGCGGAACATCAAGCGGTATAGCAACTCCTTGCGGCAGGGCACTGAGCCATGACTAGGGCTGTAGGTGCCCGTAAGAGTACGGAGAGGGAGTATGTGCGTTCGCGGATCAACATAAATAGAGTTCTCGGGTAACTCCGAGTATACATGCTTGAGCAATGCTTGGATGTATGCTTCTTCATCTAGATCATCAAGATCGCCTCCGTCTCCATCGTCGGAAACATGGTCGCCCAAGCTTTCCTCGTCAGATTCTTCACATGCCTCTTCCAATTGCATGGATTTTTTTGTTTGTTGAAGGGTTTTTGTTTTCTTTGCACGCGACTGGGGAGCATCATCGTCTTCTAGTTCGCTGTCTCCGATAGCCGTTCTCGATTGTTTACTCGTCGATGAAGAAGATGCTCCTAGGCAGAGTTCTTCTTTTACTTGTTTCTTCTCCTTTTGTGCTGCTTCTCGGCTCGCCTTTTTTGTGAAGGCTTTCGGCTGTTTCGCAGTTGCGCCTTTTGGGCGGC